CACATGGGTGAGGGCTCCCCAAAGGTGGAGGAGGCGAGGGCATGCACCGGCAGGTGGGGATGCGCGGGCATCGAGAGCGGGCGTCCCGGGGGAGGGCCGTGGCACCGCCAGGAGGGGTCGGGGAGGTGCCCCGCTGCTGCGGGTGGGGGGGCGGGGCGGGTCCCCCTCCTGGGGGAGGCAGGGCAGGTCGGAGGGCTCCGGGGCCGAGGGTCGCAGGCCGAGGCCTCGTCGGGGCGCTGCCCTCGAGGGGAGCCCTCGCCGCGGCGGCATCGGCCTCGCCGTGTCCCTGCCAGGGCGAGCTCCACAGGACGGGCCCGGGAGGCGGGAAGGGAGGGGGCCCCAGTGCGGGGTGGCCCGGGCCCGCGCCCCGAGGTCCCGCGGCAGCGCTCTGGACTCCCCGGGGCTGCCCTTCTGCGTCCAGCTGCTCTCCTCGTCTTCTCCGCCTCCCCTCCCACCTCCTTCTCCTCCTCCTCTTCCTCCTCCCCCCCTCTTCTTCCTCCTCCTCCTCCTCCTCCTCCTCCTCTTCCTCCTCCTCCCCCCCCTCCTCTTCCTCCACCTCCTCCTCCTCCTCCTCTTCCTCTCCATTCTCGCTGTCCTCCTCCTCCTCCTCCTCCTCCTCCTCCTCCTCCTCCTCCTCCTCCTCCTCCCCTGCACACCCCTTCTGCCATTTTGGCTCGAGCCAGGGCGAGGGTGCTGTTTCCAACGCTTGGTTGGGCCACGGCTCCCGCGACTCCTGCATTCCATGCAGCGGCGGCTGCGCTTGCAGATCGTTCCGTCCTGGTTTCAGTCTTCGGCGAGCTCCCCCACAACGTGTGTTCGGGCGGGATGGCGCGGGCGCGTCTGTCTGCATGCCCCCGCGCAGACGAGCTCGTGCGCCTGCCCGCGTGCAGGGGCAGTCGTTCGGCCCGAGACAGTTTGTCTGTTATGTTTAGGTCGTCCTATCGTTCCCCACTACTCTCTGCGCCCTCCCCAGGTCGCCGACGGTATGATTTTGTGCAATGCCGGCGTTCTTCCCCGATTTCGGCTCCCTGGCCCAGGGCCATCAAACATAGATTCTGGACGAAACTACCCACCAGGGGAGCGGTCTGGACCATTGGGGTTGCGGATTGAATTAACCAGATCGGCGAATGTCAGGGCTACTTCTCCGCGCTTGTCCCCGCTTTGACCTCATTTTTGCACCTCCCCATCCCCCTTCCCCACCGGCGGCCAGCTGAGCGGAAGGCGGAGGATGTGGCGGAGGCGGCCCCTGCTACGACTACGGCGCAGCCCGACGAGCCCGAGGACGGGCTGCTCCTCCTCATGCTTGACTGTGTTGCCCGTTCGCTCGCACTCGCATCATACTTGCACCTACGCGTCGAGGAAGGAGGGAATGAGGGGAGGAAACGGCTTGGGGAGGATCATGAGGAAGGTGAGGAGGAGGGGAGAGGAGCGATCGGTGCCGACGGGCTGGCAAGTTATGGCCAACGATGTGGCCCAGGGACGATGAGGGGATGTTTGTGGTCTGTTCTCATGTAGTACGCCTCGCCCAGGGCTGACCCGTGAGTCTCGTTCACAGCAGGAGGAGGAGGATGAGGGGAGGAGGGGAGTAGGAGGAGGAGGTTCTCCTCTAACAAGCACCCCTTGGGTCACCCTGGGAGCCTCCGCCAGCCTGAAGGGGCATCATGACTCTGGGGGTAACGGGGCCCCTTGGTCCAGGATCTGGGCAGGTTCAGATTCATGCCACGCTTCCAACTTGGCAGCGCTGCCCTTGGGGGGTGGTCGCCGTTGCCGACGGGCGGGAGGAGTGGAGTAGCAGGAGGGGGAGGACAAGATCGAGAAGGAGGGAGGAGGAGGAGAAGGAGGAGGAGAAGGAGGAGGAGAAGGAGGAGGAGGAGGAGGAGGAGGAGGAAGAGGCGGAGGAGGAGGAGGCGGAGGAGGAGGAGGAGAATGAAGAGGAGGAGGAGGAGGAGGAGGAGGAGGAGGAGGAGGAGGAGGAGGAGGAGGAGGAAAAAGAAAATGAAGCCTCTCGGGGCCTTCTGGGAGCCTCTTGGGGGGCCTCTTGAGGGCCTCCTGGGGGCCTGCTGAGTTCTCTTGGGGCCGCTTGGGGCCCCCTGACAACCTACACGAGACCACTCGGTCTTCGGAGGCATTGTTTGGTGCTTCACTTGGCCATCTCGAGGCCCTCTTGGGATCGCTTTCGGGCCGTCTTGGATGTGTCTGGGGCAGACTTTGGGGCCCTGCTGGCCTGTCTCGGGGCAGTGTTGGCCCGTCTCGGGGTCCTCTTCGAGGTTTCTGGGGCCGTTTTGGGGGCTATCTTGGAGGCATCTGGGGCCATCTCAGGCGGTCGGAAGCCCGAGAAGGCAAGAACTCGAACATTGTCAGACACAACCAGCGAAAATCATTGGGTATGACCTCCTGGAGATCCTCTTGACGCCATACCTCTTGGACCGACTGCACGGCATCTTGCCTGGTCTTGGGATCATGTTGGGCCGTCTTGGAATCAGATTAGGCCGTCTTGGTGGCAATCTCGACCTTATTGGAGGCGTCTTTGGGACTGTGTTGGAGGCCATCTTGGGCCAACTTGGCCGTCCTGGAGATCCTCGTAGAGCCATCTTAGACGGGAAAAGCCACGGGAGACATGTCTATGAACGATTCTGGTGGGTCGGCTGGATTGGCCGAGACCCCACTGGGAACTTTTTGAAAGGGCCCAAGGGGTCAGCTAACACTCAGCACGCCGTACACCCCTGTGGCAAGCAACAGCGGGCGTCGGATATAATCGCCTTCGATCAATGCCGCCATCGTGCCTTGGTGGTTGTGGGGCAGAGGACTCTTGGATGCATATTTCAGAAGGCGCCTCTTGGAGGGCTCGTTCTGACCAGGATTCCGAAGTTAATCGAGCCGTGGCGGCCAGGGCCGCCCACACAAAAGCCGCTGTAAGCATACAGACCCGCACCCTCCTGCCCTCCTCCTCCTCACCCTCCTCCACCCTCCTCCACCTCTGGCTTGGCACCGTGAGCTCTGTCTGTGGACGTCGGGCCTCTTCTCTCCTTTCCTCTTGGTCGTGCTCGTCTCGTCGCGTCCTCCCCTCGCATGAGATTTGACGTAACGAACAAATTGCGACATCGTGAATAATCACGCCCCATCTTCTGCGTCACTCGTCGAGCCGGATGGGTCTGTGAGGTCCTTGGGGCCCGAAACCTGACGAAGACGCCCAGTGTGACGTCGTTCCGGCGCCAGGATCTCAGGGTCCCAAGCCGAGTGATGCCTCTTCCCCCTCTGGCGGACTGGGCGGTGGCTGGGGTGTGCGCGGTCCGCTCCGTGGGGCAGGATCCGGATGTCCGCCTGCCCCGAGATCGAGGGTGGACATAACCCCCAACAGTGACACGTCGATCAGTGAATTGTCCGTTTTCGGTTCTCGCGAGGGCGCCGCGGCCGTTCTTTTCCAGGCCTGCGCCCGCCAGGTTTGGGCCTCAGGGCGTTTTCACTAAACCACGTTTTACTAAAGGGTGGTCTGTCCATCCCCGAGAGATCCGTGCGGAGGTCCGAAAGGTTGTGCCTGTGCACCCCTTTGCTGCTCCTCCAGGAGCTCAGCCTGGAGGGCAACAGGATTTGGGAGGGAACGATTTTACGAAAGGGAGGTCTGTCCATCCCCGACGAGAGCAGCGGGCTCGCCTCGGGGAGAGCGTCCACCCTCGGGTTGGGCCCGGGCTCGCTGGCGCCGGCCCCTCCCCTCGTGCGCTGCGGGCCTCGACCGGCTCCGCTCCCAGCCGGCGTGCTCTGGCCGAGGGGCAGGACTCCGAGGCTGCCGATGCGGCGGGCGAGGACTGCGAGGAGATCAAGGTGTGGAAGGGCAAGTGCCACACGTCCACACCAGGCGAGGCGCGGCGTGCAGGAGGGTGAGGAGGGGGAGGGGGGGAGGGGTCTGGGGAGCAGGCGAGTGTGGAGGAGGGCAGAGGGATATGGAGGAGGGAGGGAAGATGCATGGGAGATGCATGATGAGCATGAGGATAAGTACATTGCGGAGGAGGAGGAGGAGGAGGAGGAGGAGGAGGAGGTGGAGGAGGAGGAGTGATGATTATGATGATGATGCAGATGATGCTGCTGCTGATGATGATGATAGTGAGGCTGCTGATGATCATGATGATGCTGATGATGCTGCTGATGATGCTGATTATGATGATGGTGATGGTAATGCTGCTGCTGATGATGGTGGTAATGGTGATGATGATGAGGATGATGATGATGATGATGATGATGCTGATGGTGATGATGATGATGATAATGATGACGATGGTGATGGTGATGGTGGTGGTGATGGTGGTGGTGATGGTGGTGGTGATGATGCTGGTGATGGTGGTGCTGCTGATGATAATGACGAAGCCGACGCCGACGATGATGATGCTGCTGATTATGATGGTGCTGATGATGACGACGACAACGATGATGATGCTGATGATGTTGATGCTGATGATGCTGATGCTGCTGCTGATGATGACGATGACGATGAGGATGATGCTGACGATGATGATGATGATGTTGTTGTTAATGCTGATGATGATGATGATCTTGATGGTTATGATGATGCTAATGATGATGCTGATGATGATTATGATGATGCTGATGCTCATGCTGATGGTGATGACTACGATGCTGGTGATGCTGATAATGATGCTTATAATGGTGATAATGATGATGCTGATGATGTTGCTGCTGATGATGATGCTGATGATGTTGCTGCTGCTGATGATGATACTGATTATGATGATCGTGATGATTGATGTTGATGATGATGCTGCTGATGATGATGGTGACGATGTCACTGACGATGCTGATGATGATGCCGTTGATGATGAGTATGATGAGTATGATGATTATGCTGATGAAGGTTCTGATGCTGATGATGATTCACGATAGCGATGACGCAGATGATGCTGACGATGTTGTTGCTACTGATGATGATGATACTGATGATGCTGACGTTCATGATGCTGATGAAGAAGAAGAGGGTGATGATGATGACG